TTTTTTAAATTTACTTAAATTTACATTATTATTTATTAATTAGGTATTACAATTATTAGTGTTATTTTGTGCTACTATGGTTTTTTTTTAATTTGTTTAAACTTGTAACTGCGTCCATTATCGTTAAGTAAATTTTTGTAATGTGAAAATCTGTTCTACATCAACTGATGCTGGTCTTAGACCTAGTCCAATAAAGTACCTTAATTCCGAACAAACACGATAAGTCGATTATAAACATTTATATTTTATCTCAATACTTGGTAGATTGTAGACTGTAGTTACCACCTATAAAATTTATATATATAAGTTGTGGAATTAATTGTATAGTTTGTTAATTAAATTGTTTTTTTTTTTTAAATGTTCTGAAATATGCATTTTTATTTTTAAAATCCCAAAATATGGAATTAAAATATGAAACCATAAAATATACAAAAATATGTAAAATAAAAATAGTATTATTTGATTCAGTATAACATGAATTAAATTTGTATCCAAGTTAGCATTAAATTGGATAAAAAATAGAAAAAAATATGTAATTTCATAAATATCCGAGCCCAAGTCATCATATTGCAGATGTATTGTTCACAGTCCGTGATGAAATAACATTATATTTAATTCATTATGATTTTGTCTATTTAAACTCCTTATAGTTATAATACTTATTGGTTTGCAATTATGTTGGAGAAGATTTAGTAATTAATTTAAAATTATCAATAAGAATAAACAATTAAAAAAAAAATTATTTTTAATTTAAAACTATTAATAATTAATGAAATTGAAAAATGTATTTTACACGTTCGTTACACATGCGCATGTTCCATATGATTTTACTTAAAACGATTCTTATTAAAAGTGAGTAAAGTCAATAATATCAAATTGTAGGTTGAATTTGATTACAAAATGGTTATTAGATTTTGTAAAAATTTCAAACAAAGATAATTGGTTTGAAGGGTACTGAATACTGGGGTGTGAGGATCAGCACCCATCTTTAAAAATTGAAATTCTGATATTTCTTATATTAATTTAAAAAATAAATCATTAAGATTAGGTATTTCGTTACAAAATTTTATAAAAGTTTCGTACAGGCACTTAAAATTTGTGGTGTTAGCGTGACGTAGTTTTACTCATTTATATACAATTGTACATAGGTATACCTACCTATAATTAGTTTACATTTTTATAAATGAAACATATTACACTAACATTATTATATAAATTTTAATAATATTTTTTAAATTAACTTAATTAATGAATAATTTTAATACATAAGTATCAATAAGTTAAAAATAAATTATTATATATTATCTTAGAGTAGCACAAATACAATTTTTTTTTTTGGCACAAATTACTTACGCTAGTTTGAACACCCGAAATTTTAGTAAATGATTCAGGTGAAAAGCTCCGATTATGTATAATTTTAGTGATGATTTGTTAATTTTAAAGTCAACCTTTTAAATTTAATTAAAATAATATGATTTTCTTTTACATTTTAATCAAAATATTAATATTTACCTATTGAATGTTATAAATAAAATTAATTTGTTGATTAACGACATAGTAATTTTAACTAGCATTGACTATAATTTACTGAGTATTGTCAATTTTTTGTTTCTTGAAAACACTCTAAAATGAATACCTGTTTATGTATCTTTGATATATTTTATATATTTCTGAGAAATTAATAAAATACATTTTCTTTAGATGGTTAATAATATTGTATCATTATGTATTATAGTTACTTCTCGTATTTTAATATTATATAGTCATTTATAATTACTAATTGGTATTGATTGTTCCAGAGCGTTTCTATCTTCCGAGTTCTATTTTCACCAATTATTGGATCAATAAAAAGATTATTTGTACCCATAAACGCGTAACTATAGAGCACATTTTTTATATTAAACATAATAAATATTTTTTAAATTGTATAACAAAAATATTAATGACAATTTTACGTATACCTACACATTTATTCAAATAATCTGAATGGGTTTTGAATAGTTCTGCGGAAATGTGGACTTGGCTCCATCAAGTCCCTTACCTTACAAATTAACTTATTGGTATACCTATTACTTAGGTATATATTACTTTAATCCATATGAATTTACAAACATAGACTAATTATTTTATTTTATTAATGACTTCATATTTACTCAATTGATTCTCCTATCTATTCAACTAATCTTAACTATAAAAAATTGTAAAAGTAGATAATAAAGGTATTAGTAGGTAGGTAATAGTAACTATAGATACACCTTTATAGTATATTTTGGTTGATTTAATAGCATACTAAATCATCAAATGTGCATGGTATATTATAGCTATTATAATATTGGACGAGTATTTACCAAAAATATTTGTAGTAAAAAAATACTAAATACTAAATATGGATCTAGTAATGGACTAGTTGGAAATTGTGACTTAAATAAAATTTATATTTTAAATTAATGTAGGTATCAACTATTGCGCTTTTTATATTTTTATGGTTTGTAAGTCAATAATTATGTTTATATTTTAGTTTTACCCCCAAGCATGAAAAATAGCATTTTATCTAATACATTAATACAATCATCAATTTCATCAACATTATTGATATATCATAAATTATACATAAATCATATTGTATATTCGATTTATTTAAAAATAAGAATTCATATTACAGTAGTTATAGATCGATCGATTACTGCAGTGTATGCGATCAAATGATTATTGTTTTTGAAAAAAAATATTTATGTACCTATATTTGATATATTAAAATCAGATTTTCAGCGAATATTCTATAAAAATATCGGGGACTTATATATAATGTTATTAGTCGCCGCCTTTATAGACGAAATCAAGTTCTCGTTATCATTATATAGTTTTACTTATTAGTTATTACCTATTATATTATGTTTTGCCAATTAGGTTTGTTGTTTCGAATAATATGAGATAACTCAATGATGATACCAATTAAATATGGGTACTTATATATCATGTGTAATTATCATTAATTTTTATTGTGTTTATAATAAGTAGGGAACGGATTTATATGTAGTAAAAATACAGAAATATGTGTATAAATATGGAAATATAACGCATAAAATATGTGCTAAAAACATCAAAATATGTGGGAAAAAAATTTGATTAAAATAAAATACTAGAATTATCAAAGTGATTTGTTGCATTGAATTATTACAATTTCTTTTAAATTATCGAGTGTTTTAAATGTCGCTTTTTAGGTCTCAAAATATTTTAAAACGACTAAATGATCGTACCATATCAACTAATGTAATAATTGAAGCATATTTGAAGCGCATAATATCTGAGCGTAATAATTCCAAATTTTTAAAAGAGTGTCTGTCACTCACTATGTCATTGATTGTTTTAAAATCAATAAAGTCTGGATTTTTTTCTGTAACAGCATGTATTTTTTTCTCGACAATATACGAAAATACATCGATGAATAGCTGTTATTATTCACTACAACATAAATTGAAAACGTATGAATGATAAAATGATGAAATATGTTTAAAAATATTTACAAATTAGTGAAATATGTAAAAATATATAATTATACTAAAATATGTAAAATAAAAGTAGCATCGTTTTAATAAGAACGATTTAAATCGTGAACATTCCTTTATCGAGTCTTAAATATCTTGTTTTAATAAAAATATACATTTAAATATAAATCTGTTCCCTAATAATAATTATTTATTATTATTTAAATGTTTTATTTGAATTAAGAAACTAAAATTGTACTGAATGTAGGCAATAAGCATATTATTTTTACATAGTACTTAAAATTTAATTTACTAATATCTATTATTTCGCGTAACTGGTCTATTGATCTTAAATTTTTTGATTGTAATAATTGGTATAAAAAGATAATTTTAAGAGCTTTTAGTGAACTTCCTCTTTAATCAATAATAACTCGTTCTTTAAAATACGTAGACAATGATAAACTATATGCTTTATACACACAAATATCTTATGATTTACATACATGCCATTTTGCACGCTTTCACGCGTCTGAATATTCTAATCAAGAATCAAGTTATATCCTAAGATATAACCCTTCTTTACTTCTGATCTGTTCAATGACAGTCCATTGATACTTAGTCTGTAAATCCGCAACTATTAAATATTAATTTGATTTTGTGCTTTTGGTTATCTATTCAGTAGATATCCACTGCTATTGTGCTAATATTATAAAAATAGTTGTTGCGTCAGTGAGCCTCTCTAACACCTATCGAGGTTGTCACTGAACACACGGTCCTCCGGAACCTTGGAAGTGATGGGGGGAGCTTATGATGTAATTAATTGAATGAACAAATAATAATAATTAAACGGAATATATATGTATTACAAAAAATAATATAAGGAGAGCACCATTAACAACGTATATATATATATATGTATATGGGGGAAATGGGGAGCACCACCCTGAAGAGAGCTGGACCTCGATGATGAACTTCAACGAAAGGAAGCTGATCTGCTTTTCGTTCTTGAGCTGTGGAAAACCTCCGGAGCTGGAAACGACCACGTGGATTCAGAGCACGCCGAACTGCTATCACGCGGATACGAAGCACGCACCGACGTATACAAGGTTAAAGAATGGCTGAGCACGAGCGAACGGTGAAATTGGAGCGTGTAATCACCTTTATATTTCATAACTCATAAGAAACCAATAGCCAAGAGCAGCTATATGCAAAATATGCGATTTGCAAAAAGACGAGAGCACGTGAGAATAACGGACGACGGAGCAGAACGAACAAAGAGACGTTGGTGGCGGCGTCCGCATCATTACCCGGACCAGGGCGGCGGGCGCAACAGTGTCACCAACATTAAGAGTGACCGAGCGCGGTCGTGGATCATATGTCCAAGACCCGGGGCAACGTGAAGTGGGTACAATGGACAAACGGATCGAACAATAGTTTTATCAACTGTATCAACTGGCTTTTAAAATCCATAGATAGTGAGCATTCCAGTTCATGGCTTACATTTCACTGCGAAGCTCCGTTTTTGCGACCCTACTGTATAATGTTGTTAGTACCCGTATAACAGATATTAATTTAATAATCAGTATATATTTTAATTGTTTTTTACTTTGTTTTTGATTATTTTAATCATTTATAAACCTAAAATGAATAATACGAATAAAGAACCATTAAGAAAAGCGGTCCATAAAAATCCTCCAGGAAAGGTAAAAAAATATTTAATTTTATTAAATATCAATTATAGGATTTTAGTTTTTTATTGTGTTCGTGAATAAATTATTGGAACGACTTTTGAAAAACACATACACAGAGGCAATTCTATGGTTCATTTTCAAGGGTTTGGATTTAGGAGTGAATTGAGTCAGTTTTCCACTGAATTGATATTTTTATTTTATTATAATTTTAAAACGAATAACTGTAGAAATTTAAAATTTTCACCAAGTGTTTATATTATTATTTGCTATAATGGTATAATTTTCAAAATATTTTTATTCTCTTTGAGCTAATAAAGTCAATAGAAATTTTTGATTTTTTTTTTTATAAATGCCAATAAAATATTATTTGTCTAAATGTCTGATCAAAATTATTGAAAATTAATACATCAATCCATAGGTGTATGTTGTTTTTATATCTGTGTAAAAATATTAAAAATACATTGACATATATTTTTTTTTTTTATATACATTAAAAATAAAAATTTTAACAAAATTCATCAAATGTAATATTTTTGGAAAAAAATTATACTTATCAACTTTGAACTTACCAAGTTACTAAAACTGAATAAATGATTTTATAATAGCTATATTATGAAATATACTAAGTGATATTGGCTGATAGATAATCTCCACTTAGAATCGGTTTTCGTAAATATTATCATATTATATCATTAAAAAATTGAGTTAAAATTTAATACATCAGTAACAGTAATCAACTTAACATTTAATGTACAGCAGAACGGTAACCGCCTGCCTACCGTTTTTAAGTTTTTTTCATCTTATTTTGTCAAAATTTAAATTTAAAATGCGGTTAAAAAATTGTGTGATTTTATTTTTATATTTTAAATTGTTATAAGAACAATTTATATGAGATTTTTAACTGAATCTAAAAATTTAATAAAAGTTAATACTAGAAGAAAATACTTCAAGATTTTAATAAATTGTCTATAAATAGCTTAAAAATAATCTAAAGATTTTGAAAATGCCAGTGTGTCGTGTGTATAAAAAATTATATTATAAGTTAAAATAATATGTTTTAAGTATCTAGTGTACAAATATTTTTTTTTTATCTAATGTCGATAAAATATGAATTTCAATAGTACATAAAAAATAGTAATTCGTTATTGAATTTAAAATAAAATCAATTTTGTTAAAAACTAATTTTGCTTTATATTCCTTATTTTCCCTATTTTTTTTCATTTTTTTTCCGGACTACCAATTAACTTAAATTAATTTATACTAAAAATCATTTATTATTGAAAATTGAAACAATTTTACTGCTTCTAAAGGTGACGTTAGTCAAACAGAGTAAAAAAAATATTAAAAATCATGTGAACCAATACGTTCATATTTATCGGTTTTGAAGGGTGAGGGCAATCGCTCGCAGGCATTTAATTCTGAATCCCCTATAAGGGTGATGGTACTTGCGAATCAAATCACCTAATTCCATGATGAATTTTTAATTTTTAAGTTTGGTACTTTAAATATTTTAAAATTATTTTACATGCATCTGCTTCTAATAAGATATTCGTGAAAATGAAGTATATAAAGCTAGTGTCAAAAGTAAAATGTTGAGGGACTTATAAATAAGTATATAAAAAGATTCGTTTTTTGAGAGTTAAAATTTGAGAAATTGTTTGGGAGGAGGGAATGTTATTTATAGTACTATAGTAGACTGCGTCATTTAAAGTCTTACGATTATATCTATGTTGATGTTGTTATTGTAAACGGGGTGATACTACTTAATTATGAACTTGGAGTGCTAGTCAATTTTTAAATATGTCATTATCGATATCGCTGACTGTCGTAGGTTTTTCCAACAATTATTGTAAATGCATAGGAAAAATTAAAAAGAAATATAATATATTATAAAAGTATTATATTCGGAAATTTCTGAAGAATTACGTGTGAAAATGCTAGAATTAGAAATATTCGAGGATTAAAAAAAAACAGGAAAAATGTGTATTTTTTTGCAAAACTAGTTTTTAATAAGATGGATTTTATTTTTTAATTGTAACTTAAAAATAAATAATCATAAAAACTTGAGTTCATCACCAAATTTTCATATTAACAATTAATAGGATTGGTAAAGTTTTAAAAATATTTTTATTTTTTATTTTTGTGTCATTTATAGACATTAGACATATAAGATTTTCGACTTTTTAAAAAAAATATTTTTAGATTTATGTATATGACAACATTTTTGTTTACGATTAGGCATTTTGAATTTGTTGATACATATTTTAACTTTGTCAAAAATTTGAAAACTTCATACAAGATCCTACATTATTTTGATCTTATTATAATAAAATTTGTCAACTATTTTATATTTATAGTTAAAAATATATATACAATTTAAAATTTTATAACTATGACTTGAAAGTGTTATGTTACAAGATTTAGGATATTAAGTAATTATTTTTAAAAGCCAAAAATTTAAAAAAATATATTATCACAGTAATTTATTAAATAAATATTTAAACTTTTTACAAAATTGTATTTTTAAACAAAAAATAATGATTTTAGTTATTTTGTGTAGTACCTAATTCAAAATAATTGTTATTCGTGCGGGAATGTTTCAAATTACTTATGGTATTGTATTTTTCTATTTACAATTACATTTTCAAAATATTTAAATTGATTTTAAGTTATTGCTTATGATCTTATTTAAACATATCTACGGTAAGTAAAATTAATTATCATGATATTAATATAAATATATAATAAATGTAACAAATTTACTATAATATACTACTGTAATTAGGCTGATAGACCATCTCTGCTCAGAATCGCTTTTTTTATTCAATTATTATTTACTATTGAATTTAAATTTAACACAATATCTATTACAATGACTTACTTAATGACTAGGTACCTAGCTACTGTACAGCAGAGCTTTATCTAGTTGCCCGCATTTTTTTACCTTTGATTCGTACATAATAACTGATAAGTGATTATGTGTGCAATATCTTTTATATTTTTATCCCTCATTGGTATAGAGGTATGATACCCTAGCACCCCTATGTTCGAATTCCGTCATACCAACGGGGAAATATTTAGGTACAAAATCTGAAAATGGTTGTACTAAGCGGTACAAATTATTGTACAATTAATGAAAAAAAAAAAATGCTTATAAAATGCATTATTTAGTTTTGTTAGTACTGAGGTAACGTTACCCTGGTAAACCAGCGGAAAAATTGGTTTTTCCCGGGGAAATATTTAGGTACAAATTTTGAAATTGTTGGTACAAATAATAGTACAATTAATGGTTGAAAAAAATAAAATAAAAATTCGAACATAGGGGTGCCAGGATAAATTACTTTTGGTATAGTGCATATTATGAAATTAACTGATGTAAACGGAAAATGTGTGCGTACGATACGTGACCACATAAAATCTAACGGACATTTTAATATGCTTCATGACTATGATGACTATTTGAAGAGAATGAGAGAATGGTAAACTCTTACAAAAGTAGATAATCTTTTACATATATACAGTGTTTACTTCTACGTAAGATAGTGTTAATTAATTTACGATATATAACACCTAATGAAATTAAGCTAATTATTAAAAAATTACCAAACAAAAAAGCACCAGGAAACGACCGCATCACGAACACCATGTTCAAGAAGTTACCCGCCATAGGTCTCGTCCTTATGACTGCATTATTTAATTCTCTGTTAAGACTTGAACACTTCCCACCGAAGTGGAAAATAGCAACGGTCATACTTATCAAAAAACCTGGTAAGGATAAATCGAACCCGGATTCCTATAGACCAATAAGTCTTTTAACCTCCTTATCCAAAATATTTGAAAAAGTTATTCACACCCGACTACAAGTTTTTATAAATAGCGCAGACACTATTCCTAAATTCCAATTTGGATTTAGATCGAACCATTCAACAGTTCAACAACTGTTTCGTATAACAGAGCATATCAGCACCTCATTTGAAAAGCACTGTCACACGGGTGCCGTCTTTATTGATATATCTAAGGCTTTCGACAAAGTATGGCACACAGGTCTTATGTACAAACTAAAAAGCATAAAAACACCAAAATACTTATTCTATATTATTAAATCCTTTCTTTCGGACAGACAATTTTCAGTAAAAATAAATGACTCCTTCTCTGACCTCCAGCCTATCACTGCCGGTGTACCTCAAGGATCCAAGCTGGCCCCAATCTTATTTAATATTTATATATCTGATATCCCACAGTCACCACGCACCAATATTGCCCTTTTCGCAGATGATACGACAATTTACAGCGAATCCAGGAACATAGAAGCGGTAACTCACAACCTACAAAGCCACTTAAATGCATTATCAGATTGGTGTAAAAACTGGAAGATATCAACGTCTATCGATGCTATTTCCAATAATAAATAAAAAATCAGTCATTCAAAAAAAATGTTCAATCCTAATATACAAGCAACTTCTACTACCATTAATAACTTATGCTTGTCCAGTATGGGGGAATTGTTCGGCTACACACCTAAAAAAAATTCAAATATTTCAAAACAAAGTGCTAAGAATTATTACAAATGCTCCGTGGTTCATTCGGAATGAAAACATTCACAAAGACCTCCAAATTGTTAAAATCGAAGACCTTATACGCACACTATCAAAAAAATTCCATACTTCATTACTCAACTCAACAGGCTCACTTCATTACAATCTCCATATTCATCCACCACTCCAACGACGTCTAAAACGTGGCCGCCTTCATGACCTCATTACTCAAAATCAAACTCCAGTCTAATTGTACATATTATAATAGTTTGCATTTATATTGTATCTCAAGTATCTGTTAACATACCACTGTATTCATATCGTAATAATTAGTATATTTATAATTATCCTCTTAAAATAGCTACAAACAAAAATGTCTTTTATCCATAGATATAGATAGCCTGCAACGGCTAGGAATGTCTTATTTTATTAATAATAAAAAAAAAAAAAAAAAAAAAATTTACGATATACATGCTTTTATTAAAAAAAAGTTTGAAAAAGGTTGGAAAAAAAAATATATAAAATGAGTAGGTACTTTGGATTAGTATTCTCTTTAAATTTTTCTTTTGTCAATTTTAATCTTTATTTTAATAATCTTTCACTAATATTTTATCAGTAATCACCTTCTTTTAGATCAGTATATCCCCTTTTCTATCTTTTTTTTTTTAATTTGATTAATTTGGTTATTAATAACTACTTGAATATTTAATTTGTGTTTGGAATGTTTTATTTGAGATCAATGTATCAAAAATGTTAAGTACGTGTGACCAAAAATAACTATGTCGTTTCATTAGTAATAAATAATAATTGAGTATACCCTTCAGTGTTTTTATAAATCAGCAAACATTTATTAAATTAACTAAGTGGTTTAATAATGTCAAATATTTTATTGAAAAATAGTTTAATAGTATTAATTGGATATAATGAATCAAAATATTTAGTTCTCACATTTCAAATTTTTACAACACAGACATTTTACACAAAATTGTATATGATATTTGATAGTAATAAAATAAATTGATATTATACAATACTGAAATAATAGATTATAAAATTGTGAAAAATTAAAGCCATAATACCTTTTTTATCGTTTAAAATCTAAATAGGTAATCGATTTACTAAATTTGACCAGTCTCTAACACTCTGCCAACCCTACTTTAAATTTTCGCATTTTCGCTACTTTGTTTCAATTAAAAATTAGCATTCATTTTATATGAAACGTTGATGGTTAGTTTCAATCATATTAAATAACGATAGATATTTTTAATTTTAAAAATAATTCATGTTTTAAAGGGCGCCAAAGCTATTGTGATTTTTAAATCAATAACTATTTCTAAAAATTAAAACAATAAATAATTAACAATATATTTTTTTTTTATTTTTAGGCAGTGGGTGTCCGTAAAAAGAAAATGCTAATGAATATGTACAGAATGAAAATTAAAAATGAACCCAATCTCAAATTCTCGAAATTAACAAAAGCATTATCCCAAGAAACAGGCATCGGTATTCAAACAGTAAGAAAAACTGTGCGTAAATATTGGGATGGACAAGCTATAACAGTAAAAAAAAGAAAAATTCGACCAACACTATTTGAAAAAATTGACAATTTCGATAAATGTTTAATTCGCCAAAAAATACATAGTTTTTGGTTTAGACACGAAATACCAACTTCAAAAAATATATTATTCACCATAAATAACGATCCCGATCTTCCATCACTACAATTTACCTCATTAAAAAAACTATTAAAAGATTTAAATTTCGATTACACAAGATGGAATCGAAATAGATGTGCTCTTACGGAAAAAAAAGATATTGTACTATGGCGTCGAAAATATCTAGAAGATATACGGCGTTACCGAAAAGAAGGTAGGACTATTTATTATTTGGAAGAAACGTGGGTCAACATTGGAAAATATTCTCAAGATGAATTATTGGATGATAAAGAGCCACCTGGAAATAGCAAACGATTAATTGCTTTACACATTGGATCAGTCAATGGTTTCGTTGAGGGAGGGCTTTTATGCGTTGAGCCGAAAAATAATATGTCTAGCTACCATGAAAACATGAATGGTGACATATATTATGATTGGTTCCGTGGTATTTTGCCTTTACTCGAAGACAATTCTGTTATTATCATGGATAATGCGTCACACTATTCTGTAGCAAATCGCGTACCCACCATGTCCTGGAAAAAGGATAGTATTTTAAAATGGTTGGAAGATAAAGGTTTAGTACTCGATAGACCAATGGTAAAGTTTCAATTAATTGAAAAGGCGAAGGAGTTAAGAAATACAGTTGATATATATAGAAGAAGTATACAAGAAGCAATAAATTATAATAAGGCTATTCTTCGTTTACCACCGTACCATAGTGAATTGAATCCAATACAATTAGCATGGTCGGCTGTAAACGATTACATGAAAACGAATAACTGCACAAGTTATAAGTTGGATGATATATGTCAACTAATTAATGACGGAGTTAAGCTAGTAACGCCCGAGATGATGGCCAATTTCGTCGATCAGTCAGTAAAAGAAGAAGACAAACTTTGGGACCTTGATTTTATTATCGATGAAATGTTGGAAGAAGCTGTAACTGCATCGTCTGCATCAAATACTGGAGTAACCATAAACTTGGTTTCGTCTTCCGAATTATCCGATAATATGAGTGATTAATGTTTTATATTAATCATTGTAATCTACTTACTAATAATTCCAATATTATTTTTATGTGTTCATTTTGTTAATTATAAATTTTGTTTTTGTACACATTTATATTTGAATTTTTGTGATATGCATTCATTTTTGAAATTTTTGATAATAATTTATACTATATATCTACTATTATTTTAATTATTTTAAATATTATTTTATATTTTATTCATGACGAACGTTGTGAAAACGAGTAATTGATGACGTTTTAAGCTAATATTGTGTTATAAAATTTTAAATATAAAAAATATTTATTATTTAAGTTTATGATTTGTATACTGATATCTGATTATTTCATCAAGTACACCTACGTCAAATGTTATGATTTCATAGTAATAATAAAAGAATACGGGAGAACTCACTCTACTGCGTCGGTTGTATAGTAGGTGTTGAGTGTACACTCAATTGTGTCATAATTGGGTAAGTTAAATTTAAATTTAATGATAAATCATTAGTGGCGGCTCGTTATGTTCATATAAAGTGGTGCATAAAATGTTAATAATTGATACCCAAGTAATATGGTAAAAAAATATTAATATTGTTATAGGTATCCAAAATAATGTACATACTTATCTAAATTTAATTTTTTTAAGTTTTTTACCACGTTAAAATAAAAATAATTTATTAACGACTTATTAGGTATGTATGGGATATAAACACATAATCTTAAAGTAAACATAATTTATTATTTGAGCTATGAGGTATGTCAATAACTTATATTTATGAAAATACTTTAAATTAGGTTATTTTTATATTATAAATTTATTTTTCTATTAATAGAAAAATCTGTAATTTTTCATTAAATAGTTATTTAATTTCATCAACATTTTAACTTAGGCCTATAAAAATTTATGAGTTGATGTTTTTGTGTTTTTAGGTTTCCATATAAGAAGAACTTATGACCGTGTGACGTGTAATCAAATTTTAAGCCTTTTTACTCTTTAACAAAAATTTCATCATAGGTACATGCATCGAAAAAAAGTAGAATATTTCAAATTCCCGTAATAGCACAACAATTCCAACTTAATAGTTATTTTGAAATGTGTAATGTATATCATACCTCTCAAATACAAAAATGAATACAGTTAAATGTTTAAAGTTAAAGTACTGGGATTTATATTTTTATAATTAATTATTAGTTAAGTTATATTATTTCTGTTCATCATTACGCCATGTAGGTACTAACAGTAAATTCTGTTGGTCATGATTTGATAATTTTGAAAATTTCTCAACAAAATTTTTGATTTTATGTACATAATTAATATTTTATACATAAATAAATACTTATGCATTTATTTCCACTTTACATTTTTAGAAACAGTTTTCGTACTATATCATCTATATTATCAAATGAAGTTTCTGTTGTTTTACGACTATATAGTTAATATATAAGTAAGTAATTAGTAATTATTCGTTTAAAATAATGTAAAAGAATTTTTATCTACAAAAAAAGTCATCAACAGAATACCAGTGTATATCTATTATCTATATAATATTATGTTTCACTGTTAAAATTATCTATTATACCTATATACTTATCGTATACTTATGAATAATCTAATACATGTATGAGTTATGATTGTTATGAAGATAATATATCTCATGTGTATTTTCTGTGTTTCTTTAGTGAACTTGAAGTTTCTATAACACTAATACTGATATAATACTTATTTATGTTAACATTTTATTTCTCATGCAACATGGTTGTAACTTATAATCTCCCAAAGTGTATATTACTATAATCTTGAATAATACTTGAATATCATACAACTCATTAGATACATAATATATATAGTATAGTTTATATTATATTATATATATTGTTTGCTACAGAGTTTTATCAAAAAAAAAAAATAATACTTTATTTATTGCAAACGATTCATTATGCTAAAATAAAATAAACTCTTAATATATATCATTTATAAAATGAAATTACAATTTCTTTTGTTTCATTAAAAAATAAATTATTATAATGCTTAAGTATTAAAAAAAAAAAAAAAAAAAAAAAAAAAACGAAAAAAGAAGTTTACTACAATATGTTATTAAGAATTATATTAATATACATTATGAAATATCAAAAGAGAAGATTGAATTAAAATTAAATACAATAATAATTGAAATGGTAACAAATTTATAAAATACTTATTTTAATAATAATGGGTGATAGATAACTACACACAACATACGAGTATTATGTTATTATTATCACCTGAGTCAGTGTGTAACTTTTGGCTTTAACGGAATCTATTACATTATACCTACTACCTATACATATATAATAATCAAATAATACTGGTATAGGTAAATTTATTTCCATAATGATAATCGCCATTGGCGATAACATTAAATCTATAATGTAAATGTCCTTATTATATACTGACCCTGGTCAGTCCAAAAATTACAATGACATTGATTCTATATAATATATTAACAATACAGATAATATTATTACCGTGGAAATCTAAATATTATTTATCACTGATAAAACTTTAAATTCTAGATATAGTAAAATGTTTTTAAAAAATGGGTGAACGTTAAAAATCGAATACAAACTGATCAGATAAACTGTCTTTTTTTACTTCTTCATTTTCATTTTCATTTTCATTTGAATCTTCGGAACTAGCTGTTTTGTCAGTTACTATAAAAAAAAAAAAAAAATTGAATTTATTAACACTAGGAAAATAAAATAATAATTGTAATTTTCAACTTTAAAACATATGATATAAATTGAAAAAATAATCTATAACTCGTTTTTAATTTTTCTTTAAACTATTTAAATCGATTAGTCCAATGTTACTCATCTAAAAAATATTAAAATTGGTTCTTCATTTAATATTGACAGACTTCTTTAGTGCACATTTGATCAAATATCTATTTTTTAATTGCATAGGTAATTAGGTAAATAGGTACTGATAATTTCGACCGTTTTACTTTCATTTTTATTACTCCATCATTCAACAACGAGTGCTTATAATTTGTATCTGAATTCGCAGTATTAACAGTAAGTTGTAGTGAATTGGCGGTTGATCAAATAAGAAAAATACATATTATGTATATGGAGGCTTACAAAATATATCACTAAAAATTTGCCAAAAAATTCTACACTGGTGTCAAACTTCACTAATGTTATTGTGCATACTCGTGTGAGTTGTGTGACACATAATAATAATGTCAACCTCCCAGATTATATGCAACATTCGGTTGATAACATATAGGGTATTGTATATATTATTATATGCGTACCTATACTTTTGTTTCGTTTAAGCCTATGGGACCGCAAAACGTTAGATCATAACATGAACTATTATAATAACATATTATAATTTATAAATTATAACTATGGTTAGAATGTTGTAGCATTTGTGCAAGACCTAAATATAGATAAGTAAAATAGAAATCCGTTTCACTTACCGGAGATTAGACATTTATTATTTATATTAGGCATATTTTTTCATATTTTGGAGATATTCAAGATCACTGCATATATATATATATAGTATAATAATAAAATATGTTTAAATAATTTTATTCAGTTTATTTGTAAAATTTTCTAATACATTAATTTACTTAATGTTTTTATTTTTATTATTTCATATTTGATCTAAGCTTTATTATTATTAATAAAAATGTTCAATTGTATTCAATGTTTATATATCTATTGACTATCACTATCGTATTTTATGTCTACGGTATAACTATCGCTCGTAGAGTGTTTGTACTTAGGTGAGTGAGAATATTATGATAAAATGTTATTTTATGATTATGATTCATAATAATATAATAAAACAAAAATGTATGATTCAGTTTAGTTTAGATTAATTCAGTGTTTGGAATGAACAATTTTTTGAACTGAAACGCAGTATTCAAAATTTTGGAATTTTTTTCATTTATTTGTTAATTGTAATTTATAAGTTATAAATAGTAAAACATGTTGATCGTTCATATGGCAATGGCCAACAAGATATCTACAACTGGTGCAGTATTAAAATTGTAATAACATTTTTACTTTAGATATCTTTCGAGTATTGTACAACCTACAGAAAAACTGTTTTAGGTATAAACTGTTATTATGCGGGCAGTCAGTCGATAGCGGCTACGGGTATAGCTAATAATATAACCTACCAATAACTGATAAAATAAATATGATTTACTGTATTTTAAAAACATATTGTATTTCCAAGCAGAACTTAAAATTACATTAATAAATGACGCTTTTACGTTTTTGGTTATTTTAAAATTATACAATTATAATGTTTGTTATTGTATTTTCAAATGTTATTTTCGATTAACATTGTTATATTTTTAAACGTTATTTTAATTTTACGTTTTAAGGTTAGTACCTACTAAGAATAAAAAGTTAGGTTAACTATAAAAATATACTAATAAGTATATCTAGTATTTAATAAAAAAAACAACAACAATTTCAAAACAAATTATTATAATTAAGGTTTTCATTGAAATTATGCCATACATATTATAAAGGAATAGTATAAAAAAATCACAAACATATTTTATAAATAGCATTGTTTGTAATATTGTTTTACTTTATATATTGTACGTTTAATTGTTAACTGTTAATTTTAAATTATGTTTATTGGTTTGATAGTATTCAAGTTTTTTATTTTTTCGTTTATTGATATCTCATAATTGTTTAAATCATTTTGAAAACATTATAGTATAAAAAACGTTTTGATGTTCTGTTTTTAAGTATTATTTTTATCTTAAAGGAGTTCAAAATTAATTTTATTTTAACATATTAAAAATAAAATAAAATCCGAATTAAAAAAATAAAAATATTTTATCGTTTGGAATGCTATTTTTTAAACTGGAATACTGTACTTCAAGTCAGTGCTCGACTTGGTAAAATTAAAGTACATATAGGGGTACTCTGTTTACTTTAAAAAAAAGAGCGTCTTTATCACTTATTAAACAAATTAATACTCTTCTTTAAATCATATGAGATATAGATGGCTAGAGAAGTAGGAGGGATCGAACTTAAATGTTATTTCCCTCTACCTCTCCACTATCTTATAGAAGTCTGAATGATTAAAACTCTATTTAGCGGTAATATTTTTATTCTAACAAATATCAAAGCAAGTCCAATGAAAAAAAGACAAAAACATTTAAAACTAGATAATTATTATTTATTTATGTAGATACGCGGTTTTGAAATAATTCATAAGATAAATTATGATGATATTTCGTGCGTTCCTCTTAAAAATAATAGTAGAGGTACGCTAAAATTTCTAAAAAATTAGTTGCGGTACTCCGTCCCCCTCCTGCGTATCCATCCTCCAAGTCGAGCACTGCTTCTTATTGAGGGGGATAAGAACAGCGTTCCAGTGGGTTCTAGTCCAATTCATTAGCCGGACAAAGGTCAGTGTATATGGAATACGTTGAATATATTTTATGTAGATGCATAATATGCTGACAGCAAATCATACATACATTTCAATAAGTGTATTAATATATTGTCATCGCGCTCAGTATCGGAGGCCACTGCCCACTGTTTATACGATTTCGGTTTTAACTTCTAATATGCATTATCCTTGCGGATGGTGACAATCTGATAATATTACCACAAATTATGTGATTTAACTTAACTCTAATCGGTGAAAAATGTTAAACCGTAAACATACTATATTGATTTAGTTGCCTAGTCGACTGTGATGAACACTAACATTGTTTAGATCGTATGTTAAGAGCCAAGGTGTTTGGTGACGTCAGTATACTTTAGAAATTTCCCTCTTTCCGACACTAACGCATAGCCTGGACGCATGTCCAATATGGCTTAAGTAGAATCTATCTTGTGTCGTTAACTTAGCATTAGAGTAAGTTTTAGCGTAAGAGTGAATTTACTTATCATCAAACTTAAATTTAAGAAACTATCTATGGATGCTATAATGTACGTTAAATATTTTATAATATTAAATTATTTTTTTTAAATAAGCATTTTTCAAATTTAAGCATCATAAAAAATCTAGTCTAAACACAAATGTTTTCATATTGAGATACATTGGAGTGAAGAAAATAATGATATTCACATGATTTTATATCGGTTGAATATGGAAATATGATACAAGATTGGACAAAAAGAATGGCCGGTTCATAATTTCTTTGTAAGATTTGAAGTACTTGAAGTTGTTCCTCCCCCCCTAATTTTGTCCGACTGATTTCAAAATACCACTAAATAATTACAAATCGAGTATCTTTAATTGAAAATCACTCAGTTTTGATTAAAATCAAATTCAATATTGGTAGGGGGACGACTTCATGTATCTTTTCACTCTGTCCGATTGACTTGAAAATATCACCAATTAATAATTGTTAATTAATTGCAAATCATAGTACCTACTACCTAGGTATGTAATCACTAGATTTAATTTTTTTTTTTAATTCGTTGAAGTTCGGTTATTTGAAGTTGCCCCTTAATATTGAATTTGATTTTACTCGTAATTGGATGATTTGCAATTATTTACAATTCATTGAAGAGGATAAGTGTTTAACGCGGTGAACTGAAAACCAAAAACCCTTCAGCGACGAGGTAATAAGATTAACTCGATATATACACGAGTACACCTCGTTTGTACAAGATAATAGACGCGTAATTATGGCCGTATATATGAGAGGGTTAGGTTAAGCCCTTCCTAAGATATAATACTTAATTTTAATAGATACATAATCTTTATTATAATAAATTATATAATTTATAATCAACATTTATAACCAATGATTATAGCTATACGAGTAAATATAATAATAATAATAATAACATGTTGGTAGGTTTTCATTAATTTTGGTTTTAACTTTTTATAGACGATAATAGTCTCTTATAACTTTTATAAGTATAGTTAGTTAAGTTAATTAGTACTTATAAAAATGTACTGTCGTTGCGTTTAGATGAAATGCATCGTCGTCCGATTATCTATAATACACGCGTATTACGTATACGAGCAGTGAACGTGTGTCACAGGTAGGTACGGTACACCGTGTCGTCTAAACATAAACATTACTATTATAAAATATGTAATAGATAAAATTGTGTGAATGAAGTGGGTGGAAAACGAATCTCTCACTATTTTTGTTCGTGAAATCTTTTATGCTCAAGTCCTATATGTTTAAGGATTCACGTCCGTAACCTAACTGACCAAAGTTGACTTTATCAAACCTGTTTATTAGCATCTGTTCAATTATAGGTGCGTGACTCAATAGGGAACTAACCAAAGACGCTTAAAGAAATTTCCAACCCTTCGCGCTACACAGCCGTGAGATTTTTCCCGTTATAAAAACATGTGCAGTGTGCGAGACACCGTCTGCCAAAGGGTTGCGGGTTACCTATTAAACGCCTAATCAGCCATCCTCAACGTAATACATAGTAGAGACTAGGGACAAACGTAACATTTTGCACTTTTTTTCTATTTTTAGGAAATTATTGTACATATTTTTGATTTTTAACGTTATAATTTGATAAAAGAAAATTATAGCTATTTAATTATGTTATGATAACTGTTTAAATATCAATTTTAACAATAAATATTTTTAATTAAAAAAAAAAAAATGTTACAACCGTACCAGACTTTGGGGTTAAATGTAACACACCTTGGGGCTAAATGTTACACATATTATATTAATTTCGTT